TCGCATCCTGCTCTGAAAGACTGTAATTCTGGGAACATAAGTGAAACTATGGATGGCTTTGCTCAGATGGACTTCCCAAACTGCAGTGGGGAAATAGATGGCACACACATTCCAGTTCTGGAACCAGAGCTCCTAGCTTCTGAGTACATTAACCGCGAGGAGTATTTCTCCATGGTTCTGCAGGAGCTTGTGGATCACTGCAAGCATTTCACAGACAATACTTAAGGACGTAAAATCTCAATTAAACTGGCTAACCAGTAAAACATATTGTTTAATCTGTTAACCAATGAAAGGAGGGGGGCGTGAGCTAGGGATCATAGAATCATAGAATCATAGGACTGGAAGGGACCTCGGGAGGTCACCGAGTCCAGCCCCCCGCCCTCAAGGCAGGACCAAGCTCTGTCTACACCATCCCTGACAGATGTCTATCTAACCTGTTCTTAAATATCTCCAGAGAGGGAGATTCGACCACCTCCCTTGGCAATTTATTCCAATATTTGACCTCCCTGACAGTTAGGAATTTTTTCCTAATGTCCAAGCTAAACCTCCCCTGCTGCACTTTAAGCCCATTACTCCTTGTCCTGTCCTCAGAAACCAAGAGGAAAAAATTTTCTCCTTCCTTCTTGTGACACCCTTTTAGATATTTGAAAACCGCTATCATGTCCCCCCTTAATCTTCTTTTTTCCAAACTAAACAAGCCCAGTTCATGAAGCCTGGCTTCATAGGTCATGTTCTCTAGACCTTTAATCATTCTTGTCGCTCTTCTCTGTACCCTTTCCAATTTCTCCACATCTTTCTTGAAATGTGGCGCCCAGAACTGCACACAGTACTCCAGCAGAGGCCTAACTAGGGCAGAGTAGAGCGGCAGAATGACTTCATGAGTTTTGCTTACAACACACCTGTTGATACAGCCTAGAATCATATTTGCTTTTTTTGCAACAGCATCACACTGTTGACTCATTCAACTTGTGGTCCACTATGACCCCTAGATCCCTTTCCGCCATGCTCCTTCCTAGACAGTCGCTTCCCATCTTGTATGTATGGAACTGATTGTTCCTTCCTAAGTGGAGCACTTTGCATTTCTCTTTATTAAACTTCATCCTGTTTACCTCTGACCATTTCTCTAACTTGCTAAGGTCATTTTGAATTACGTCCCTATTCTCCAAAGAAGTTGCAACCCCGCCAGTTTGGTATCATCTACAAACTTAATAAGCGTACGCTCTATCCCAATATCTACATCATTGATGAAGATATTGAACAGTACGGGTCCCAAAACAGACCCTTGCGGAACTCCACTTGTTATCCCTTTCCAGCAGGATTTAGCACCGTTAACAACAACTCTCTGACTACGGTTATCCAGCCAATTATGCACCCACCTTATCGTGGCCCTATCTAAGTTAAAATGTGTTTATTTAGGTAAATGTGTAACTGCGGAAATTTCCAGTGATTACATGTTTACACAAGGGGAGAGAGGTCAGCTCCTGCCTCTTCCCTCCCTCTCACGCTGCTGCTGCCTCTGATACAGAAGCAGCAGTGTAGGTGGTGGGGTGGCCCTGCCTTTTCATACGCGAAGGTTAACAGATGAGCCCAGGCGCATCAGTTAACCATTTACATGTTTACGCATTCACATTCCAAGCTGGAATGCCAGTCTGAGGTCATAAGGTTGGCTTTATCAAGGCACAATTGCAACATGTTACAGAGAGTCCATTGTTAACCCTAGACACAGCTCTGCTCCAACCCCTCTGAAACACTTGCACTGTTTACATACCTAGCCCTGAATGTCCCAGAGTAGGGATGTTAAATATCAGTTAATTGAATAGTCGAGTAACCTCATGAATTCTTATTGGTTAATTGACTATTCTATAGTCCCCGGGGATGGGGCCAGCAGCCAGTGCACTTCAGCCTCACTCCAAAGGAGCCCCCTGCCATTCCGTGCTGCTGCCTCTGTATCAGAGGCAGCAGCATGGGATGCCAGGTGGGAGCTGGTCCAGGAGGGGAGCCAATTTAAAAACCAGCCCCTCCTTGTGGTCTGGCTGCCTGTCACCCTGATAAAGAGGCAGCAGCCAGGGTGGCAGCAGCCCCTGTCTAGGGGAGGTCTGAGCTCCTGGACCTGGTGCAAGCTAGAACTGAGCTGGGCTGCCTGCCCACCTGGCTCCTAATACACTTTAAATGAAGAGCTGCAGCAGGGGTAGGTCCTGGACCTGTCCGAAGCCAGGACCGAGCCGGGCTGCTGGCTAGTCTGCTAAAAAAATTACTAGAAGGGAGGGGAGGGAAATACGTGTAGTCTATAGCATTAACCTATAAGCTTTAGCTTATCAGTTAATCAACTACACTATTACATCCCTATACCAGAGCAAGCATATAACACAATGGCAACTTCACCACAACGGCAGTGGACTCACTTGCTGCAGCAGCACAGGGATTCTTATAAGTGCTGGGGAACAGGAGTTTTCATTCACACATGCCCGTGTTTACTCCGAACAAGGATGACTTGGGGAGAACTCTGGAGGGGTGGAGGTGGGGACTGAAAGTTTATAAAGAAATGACCACTCATTTCCACAAGCTATGTTCATCCTGGAAGATATTTCACTGCTTAGGGCAAGCAGGAAAGCAAAAGAGGATCTTTTACTTGATTGCGGGTTCCATCAAGGACAATACACAGCTTGTCTTGGCTCAGTGATAGGTGCCTCCCTCGTTGCTGACAGCATAGGTGAGGGAATGTCGGCCTTCAGGGCTCAAAGACCATGTTTGCTTTGCCAGAAAATTTGAGGAGACAGGTGGCACAGCAGCTGCATGGCACTTTCAATGAGGTCTGAGAGGCAGATTACTGTGACATAAGAGATTGCATTAATGGTCTGTTCACCATCTGATTGATGCTGTGCTGGTAGCAGCATCACACACAACCAAAAACATCCTTTCTGTAACCCTCCCGCTCCCAGCAAGGCACTCAAATGTTTCCTGAGACCCAGCCCACTTACCAGATGCATCATCCACAGCCTCCAAGGGCTGTGAATGGCTGGCTTCATTGAGGGTATAAAACAGCTCCTAACTGCAAGCCTCTATGGATGCTGAGTCCTCCTCTGGGTCCCTCTCTCCCTTAGCACACATAGCCACAACTTTCTCCTCCTGTCTCAGTCTACTGCTGGATGACCCCCAAACCCCAGAAGTATCCATGGAAGTCTTCAGAGTGGAGGTGGGGTCACCCTCAAATATATCATCCAGCTCTTTGTAGAACCAGAAAGTTGTGAGCATAGCACCAGAGCAGTGGTTTGCTTCCTGCACATCGTGGTAGGCATTTTGCAACTTCTTCACTTTTTGGCCTCTTTCGGTCATACATCTTGATGTGCCCATACATTAGGGATGTTAAAATCAGATTAGTCAACTAATCGAATAGTCGATGGAATTTCCATTGACTGATTAGTCGATAAGTGCACTTCCACTCTGAAATATAGCAAGAGCCCGCCCCGGCTGCTGCTACATTTCAAAGGTAGAAGGCGGTGCTTCAGCTTTGAAATGTACAAGAGCCCCAGCAGGGAGCTGAAGGGAACCGCCTTTCTGATAGAGGCAGCAAAGGGCGGGTAGGAACAACTAGTCGACTAGCATGTCGACTATCCAATAAGGTTTTGCTTATCGGATACTCAAGTAGTTGATTAGTCTTTACATCCCTACTATACATATCATAATTCCTACATTTGGAGTGCAGATGGGAGTGCTGCTCTCCCCAAATACTGACCGCATCTAGCACCTTGGCATGGCTCCAGGCAGGGGCTCTCCAGCTGAAGAGAGGCACTGAGAACACACTAGGTGCTGAAAATACACCACCTTGCAATAAAAAAGGCATCTCCCTAACACAATGACCATCCCCTCCCTAATTTTGTACTGGTGCTCTAACTGATTAGGATGACATCACTTCTAAAAGAAAAAAGTTACCAGAATTTAACATGCTCAAACCATTTATTTTTTTCTTGCCTTTCAGAAAGAGTTAAATCACCATGGTTCAAATCCCCCCTGCCCCAAAGTAATTCAGCTTGAAGGAGAAATGCAACACAAAATATTTTAATCCCAACTGTTACAGTATGACAGAATTATAAGCAATAAAAACAGGCTCTTGCCATGAGGGAAGTGTCAGACAGCCTTAACAAGCAGTGCTACCAGCTCTTCCTATAATGTCGTATGTACTACTTCTGGTTTAATAGGGAAATTGACTTTTTCCTACAACTTTCGCTCTCTCTCATACAGCGCGTGGACCATTCAGGTAGGGCCATGGGCAGTGAGTCTGACATTTCGCGGGCGCTCAGCACGTGTGCGTGAGAGACGCGGTCGGGGGACCTTGCGCGCTACAAACGTGCTCGCCCGCCCACGGCTCAGAGACGAGGCGCGCGTGGGAAGCCCAGCGCTCTCTGCGTTCTCGCCCCGCAGCAGCGACCTCCCAGGGCGCCAGGCAAACGCGGCCAGCGGGCCCCATCCCCGCGGGGACGCGCGAGCACGCAACCCACCCATAGTGACATCACTCCACTCCACAGTTCCCCGCCCTACGCAGGGCCGCCTCACCGCAATGCGCATGCTCACAGCAACTCCCTCCCGCAAACGCGCCTGAGCATCATGGGGAAAAGGCTACATTTTGGCTACCACGCACGCGCAGCGAGCACGAGATTCTAGACTGCTACAGGCAATACGCAGGCGCAAAAGGGGACGGCGAAGCCCACTATGGGCAACACACATGCGCACTAGATGCTTCGGCTAGTCTATGTGGCGGGGTGTGCACGCGCAAAGGACAGTCTTAAGCTGTCAACGGGGAGTGGAGCATGCGCGATAAAGGGGTGGACTAGTTTTGTAATTGGCGCAGGCGCACTGAAGAGTTTGGGGACCGCAGCCCCGCTCGGTGGGGGAAAAAAAAATCCACCTCAGAGTTACGTCAGGAAAAGACGCCTTTGTGCACGGGGAGACCCGCGCGGCGCGGGCAGCCCCCGAAACGGGCGCGAGACGCGGCCATTACTCACCGTCTCCGCCGTTAGCCGCACCCCACCCTGCTGCCCCCCTCGGCGCCTCCCTTCACGATTCGCCCGCGCGCGCTGCTGCCACCGCCGTGATTCCATCCATCTTGAATTTGACGTCATCCCACACCAGGGATGAGGTCATCGCAGGGAACGCTCGTCACGTGCGCAGCGTTGCGATTGGCCGGCGCCAGAGCGGTGGGCGAGGCGCTCGTGCTGGGGACTGGGTGGCCGTTGGGGAGTTACCGGGGATCCCCCAACCGCCAGCCCTTCCCCTGGCTTTTCGGGTCCCCCTGCGGACTGGGGCGGCGCAGCTCGCCAACTTCTTCCCGGCTAAGGCAACGGGTGGGAGCCGCCTTCCCGCTAGGCGCTGCGGGGCCTGGCCCGAGACTTCGCGGGGCGCCTGGGAGCGGGGCATCCCCAGGGAGCGCCTCGCTGCGCCCAGGCCCTTCACGGGGCGGGGGAGATGCAGCTACGTGGAGCTGGGGGACCGAGTAAGCCTGGGGCGTGGCCGCCGCGCACGGCGCACTCGGGACTGACCTGCCTCCCCCCATGGCACACGTGGGCTGCCGGGCCGAGGCGCCCCCAGTCACAGCACCGCGGCCTCCCTTGGGACACGTTCCGGCCTGGCTGCGCTCAGCCGCCGAGTGTGGCAGCCCTGGGGGCACAGGCCGCACTCTCAGGCAGCGCAGCTCCCAGCACCTGTGGGTTTGACAGGGCCTGCAAAGCTGGGGGTGTGTGTGTGTGTGTGTGTGTGTGTTTGTTTTGCAGTTTGAGAGGACAGGACATCACCGTGCCTGTAGCTGTGGTTTCAGGCTGGCTGCACACTCAGGTCCTGTTGTCCAGAGAGGCTGTTCCTATTTTTGTAGCCTTGAGAACTAGAAATGTAAGTTACCTTTTTCAAGTGAAGCCTGGTATTCTGACATGACCCCAGAAGCTGGGGCCTGGGACACATGCCTATATAGGCTATACTGCCTGTGTTATGTGTTAAGGAGGCCCTAGCTTTACAGTGTGTGCCTCCAACCTGCCCCCAAAGCCTTGCCTTTTTAGCAGGAAAGGGTGGTTCCTGACACTAGTTTACAGGCAGTTTTAAGATTAATTTTTTAATTAATTGATAAGTAACAATAAATGATTCCAGGTAGTGCCTATGTTGTGTGAAAAGGTAAAATAACTATATATGTGCATATTCAGCACCTTTAAAACAATGTGATCCAAAGCTCATTGAAACTAGTGGAAAGATTCATATTGGGTTTGGATCAGGATTGAGCATTTAGCAACAAAAATAGCAGCTAGTTCAGATGATAAAATAATGGCCTGAGAAAGTACATCTGGTAAAATGTGCACTAGCAATATTTTGGTCATTTGACTAAAATCAAGCCATTTTGAGTTACATACCTGAGTAATGATCTAGTTGAGTGGTTCCAGCTTATGGTCCATGGCCACCAGAGAATTTTATAAAGCCCCTGGTCTGCTTCTACAGGTTAAGCTGCTCTAGTCCGGCATTTTGTGGTCCGGCAACATCTGTGGTCTGGCATGATTTTAGTTAGCTAGATGTCCACTTATCGTGGGTGTGGCCAAATTTCCTGCAGTCCCATAACACTTTTTTTACAGAAACTAGCCCTGGCCTTCAGTATTCTGTGTTATTTAGCTCTAATTTATCCCTAAATGTCTTCCAAGAACCTAGTGTGCAGTAAAAGTGTTGGTAATGCTGCTAGACAATATTCACTTCCCGTGGTTCTGCAAATTCTCTGGTTCTGCACTGGTGGGGCCTTGAGAGTGCTGGGCAAGAGAGTCAACCTGTATACAGTACAGTAATGGATGATTCATTAGTGTTTTGTTGTGACGTGTGCATCATTTTAGTTTACACAAGTGTATTAACAGACAATATTGTATCCAGAAATAATCTGAGTACCATGCAAAACAAGCTGAATTTAAAATATAAATCAATACAGATTGTTAAATATTATTAAAATATGTAAAAACATTTGGCCCATAGAAGATTGTTTAAGCATCTAGTTGACTATCCAATAAGCATAAGCTTATTGGATAGTTGAGTAGTGACTCAACTAGTCGCCCCCTGCCCCTTGCTGCCTCTAGCACCATCTCTGCAGGGGAGCAGAGGCACAGTGGGGAAATAGCACAAGCGGGGACTAAAGCAGTCCCCACTCATGCCAGTTCCCACTGTGGCGCTTCAGCCTTTGAAATGTAGCAAGATGTGGGGCTGTTGCTACATTTCAAAGGCTGAAGCGCTTCAGGGGAAACTGGTGCGAGTGGGACTGCTTGAGTCACTGCTTGCCTTGTGCTCCCTGCAGCACTCCCTCCCCTACTGCCTCTGAGAGACAGCGGGGGGGGGGGGGGGGGGAGGCCGAGCCGGG